GGTTTAGGGTTTAGGGTTCTGGTGTGACGGGCGTAGTGTTCAGGGTTTCCATGGACGGTTTGAGGTTCCGTTTTATATGTTGTGTTGTCGTCCATGCAAAATCCAGACATGGAAGCTGGAGGCTAAGCCCCTGAAAGAGTCAGAATGTACCTGTAGTAGGCTGGCAACTGCAGATGTGAAGGTCCGGTCTTGAACTCGTCAGCAGAATCAGTTCCAAAGCATAGCCATCTCAACTTTCAAAGTGGAAGTTCCGGGCTGGATCATGGGTCCGTTTTCGGTGACGTAGGATGGTCATAAGAAGCGCTATGCCATAAACCCTACACAAAGCATAGCTGAGAAGGTATTCCCTGGGGGGACGCACAGAAGGCGAAGACCACAACAAGCAGCCAGATCATGAATGTCAGGATGTGGCTGATGCAATCTAAGCGAGAAGTATGGAGTCATGCAGACAATACAACGTGAGGGGGATGCAGAGAAGACGATCTGGTACTGAAAAACACAGCAAAACGCAACTGTGCCATAGGACAGTGAGAAGCCGCTATTGACTCACACGAGATGGTACAATGCTTGGTACTCGTTGTGATGTTGTTTAGGCAGAAGCCTGCCGGCAAGACGACGAAGAACAATCAGAGAGAGAGAGAGAGAGAAAGAGAGACCGTGCGTGTGTGCGCGTCTATACATACATGTATATATATATATATACACACACACGCGGAGCGCAGATCCTCTGTCGGTTCACCTCTGCGCCTAAGAAGCTCTTCATGCCCGCGAGAGCGGGCGAGAGTGTGCGTGCATGTAAAATATATACATAGGCGTGTGTGTGTGTGTGTGTATATATATATATATGTATACATATCTGTATTTACAACTAGAGGAGTATTGTTATACTCCTGTCTTGCTGTGCGCACGGGCGATCAGATCAAAGAAAGTGCATTGTACGAACGGGTAGGCACCGACTAGATGATAGTCGAAGGTGCGAGCAGCATGGTATAGTACTTTGTGGATACATGCCAGTCCATTTACAATTGCTTGTGTGCCTAGGCAAGTGTTACCACAGCTTCAAGCAGCAAAGTCATATTGAGAAACAGTCTCGGGATCGTGATGTCACATGTCGTCCGGTGAATGAGCGACAGTTTCTCTGTGGTTTTGCTGTACCTTGAGCTTTGATATGAGGCCTGTGGTCTGCAGCAAACCCAATCAAACTAAAGTCGGCCCCTAAACTCCAAACCGTTTTACCCCAACTACACCCCGACCCCGTTTAAAGAGTACACAAGCATCAGCGAAGCCGTGTTCGCGTCTGCATGTACAAGTGGATGAGCAAATTGCTGCAAACCAATCCTGCAATGCAGCGGTTGCCACTCGTTGCATGTCAAGGGGTTTCGATCATCCCCACCCCAGACCCGGAACCAAGGTAAACACATCACCCTCGCCCCCCCACCCCCCCTCCCGAAAATGAACCTTGCACGAAGCTTCTACAGGTCGAGTTGAGTTCTGGAAATTGGATCTCTGGTGCTGCCTGGGAGGGTGCATGCAACTGGCTTCGTACCCACGTGACTGGGCGATAAGTTGCTTCGTCCTTTCCCCGGGGTCAGAGGCTCTCATGTTTGGGAGCTTCTGTTGGTTTGTTTGGAGCTTTTGTGGTTGGGGGTCCTGCCCCTCATGGGATCGGGAGTCTCCTTTGAGGGATCGACCCTTGATAGCCTGCGGACTAAAAGCTTTGATTCGCACAGTTTCCCGACTCCCTGCGCTGGTCCGAGGTTCTCCAAGTTTAAGGGAAGCACTCGTTGTTTGGGAAGCAGGCGTCAGGCCAATACCAAAGCTGGGGTTTCCCTGACCAGTGTTTGCACTCTGCCTGGTGGTTGGGGGCTTCTTCTCTGAGTCCATAAGCCACCGCACTCCCAGGGCTTGTTCAGTCTCCCCGAAGTAGGGCCTCGAAAAAGGCAGGTCGGTTACCATTTGAATCCCCTTGGCGCAAAGCCCAGATCTCCATGTGGATGAGGAAAGCCAGAGGAGGCCATAGAAGATTGGATGACCTTCTTGGGTCCGGGATGTACCGTTTAGGGTTTAGGGTTTAGGGTTTAGGGTTTAGGGTTTAGGGTAAAATTTGTGAGCTCAGATAGCACGCAGCGGGAATAGCCGAATAGCCGAATCTCTGTCTTCAAAGCGCTGCAACAGGCTTCTAAGGGCTTGGGAGTCGAAACTGGGTGATCTTGGGACCGCCACTCAAAACCACAGTCAACACCCCGAGCATGTCCGCGATTGCCTGAGCTTAGGAACACATCTGGAGGACCTGGATTCCTCAGGCGGCCTTTTCATCAGTCTGGTAGTTAGTCTTGGGACAAGGTATGCTGAGGGGCCGGTGTCCGGAGCCTGGCGCCTGCAATAAAAAACCATCACAACCCTACCTTAACCTACCAAAACCTACTTTTTTGTAGGGTCCCTGTACATTCCATATTGGGGTTTATAATAAGAACCTAAAAAAAGGTAGGGTTTGGTAGTTTAAGGTAAACCCTAAACCCTAAACCCCGGCGGCTTAAGGGAACTGGAGCTCCGTCGCCAGTCGGAGGGCTTGTGGCTCCGGCGTTCCATCCTATGCAAAACTGAGACCAGCAAGAAAGCAGCCATGCAGAATAAGAATAAGCAGAAGCCCTGCAGAAGCCCTTGAGCCTTTCTGTAGCCTACAGTATTTGAAGCCCTAAGCCCAAAGCCATTACACCCTTAAGCCGTCAACTCTAAGCCGCCAAAGCTAAACGTCAGAACCCTACGTTTCGGGTTTAGGGTTTTAGGGTTCAGGGTTTTAAGGTTTGGAGTATTAGGGTTTAGGGGTTTTAGGGTTTAGGGTTTTAGGGTTCAGGGTTTTAAGGTTTGGGGTCTTAGGGTTTAGGGTTTTTTAGGGTTAAGGGTTTTAGGATTTAGGGTTTAGGGTTTAGGGTTTAGGGTCTAGAATTTGGGGTNNGGTTAAGGGTTTTAGGATTTAGGGTTACAGGTCGGTGAGTATGGGTACCGTATAAGGAGACTCCCGTCTGATAATCTCCACCGATGCCCGGACTTACAGTCGTCAACAGGCGAGCTAGGGTTTAGGGTTTAAGGTTNNGTTGAGGGTTGAGGGTTTAGGGGCCCGCAAGAACCAAAGCTCGCAAAGCTGCCTACCCAAAATCCGCAAGAGTCCTGGCTGAAACCACAAGCCGTGAACACCCCGAAGCACTTTTTACGTTTAAAGTTTAGGAGTCTCTGGTTGTAGGTGTTAGAGTTGAGGGCTTCAGACTTGGAGGATTACTACTTT